AGTAACCCAGTCTCACGGCCCAGCTCAATAGCAGATAATGGCAGTGCAGTGATACTGTGAGTCCTCGTCCTGCGGAGAAGCATTTCTTTAATTTTTTAAGCTCAGCTGTGGGCTTCATGTTTGGTGCTCTGGGTGCAGGGACACATCGATGACAGGTTTTTTCGAGGCGTGGGCATCAAGTCAAGTTCGTATTTAGAGATAATTTTTCTATGGAGAATTATAAGAAATTGCTTTTCTATCCTGACGAGCTGTCCTATCAAACTACAAAATGTGTCCTTACGCGAATGACTTGAAAGTCGAATATAATATGATTTAGTTACCTCCTCAAGAATTGACAATTTTCTACCAGGACTGGAATTCTCGCAGAAAACGATAATAGCGTTAACTCAACCTCACTTGTGCGACGTGCTCTGCATTTCCTGGCAATATGGATTGCAATTGTTTTTATAGACCTCGGCGTATGTTCAACTGCATAAAAAGTCTTTAATGGATAAAAGTTCTTAGAAAATTGCACCATATATGCATGATATATACTGCCGTCAGGTTTAATATCTTCGTAAAACATGCCGTCAACTCTGCCTCTAGTGCCCTCTTCATAGGTGGGCAGTAGCGCTCTACATGTAGCGGCCGCTATATTTTTAGAAGCTGTAGCGGTAGCGGCGTTTCAGTTAAGCAATTGTAGCGGTAGCAGTAGCGCCCAGTATATATTTAAGTAGCGATAATAGGTTTTGCCGCTACAGCGCTTCAGCTGCTTCTATAGATAAAGCCTTTAGAATTTAGTTAATAGTATTAAATATATAAAAACCAGCATAATAGATTTTCCCTCAACTCCGCCACTAGTGCCCTGTTCTCTGCCTTAATTGCCCTCAACATTGACACTAGTTCCCTCAACTCCGCCACTAGTTCGGCTGACTCTACCACTGTGCTCTCTGCTCTGCCATTATTGCCCTCAACAACGCTGTTATGTACTCAATCTTTCAAGTAATGAACGCGTCGCAGCCTCTAGGGGCTATTGTAGCTCAACGTACAAATTATTGATGTAATATCCCTTATCATTTTCTATCAGCCTTCTGGCCCCAAAAAGTCAATTGAACAATTTTTGAAGGCAAGTAAAAGATATTCACTTGAAGGAAACTTATCTGGGGGACAAAATGGTAACTATTTGCTCATAAATTCATAAAATAATGTCATAATCACATATGGCAATTATCAGTTTATTGCCTTCAAGTGGAACTTATTTCGAGTAATTGTGTGTTATATTCACTAAAGTAATACAATAAATATTTTCAAGATTATGTTCTCCAAATAATTTTTTATCTAGAGAGTATATTATTTGATGAGTAACTAATTTATACCTCGTGCTACGCCCGAAAACATCACCGCCCTGAAAAAAGTGCAACGTAGAGCAGCAGGATAGTCTTATATCGTTTTCGCCGGCCTTGAAATGTGTGCTCCATGGCCTATGATGACCAAGGTTATGAGACACGAAGGTGAGCTTGGCTTACCATACTATACATAATCCACGACACCGTAGCAAGCGTTAACACCTGCCACCTCCGTGAAGAGGCTAATCTTATGTAAATGGCTCATAATTAACAATAGTTAATGAATTAATTATTTTAATGACTTAATAAGGTCAAAGGTGTCGCCGAAATCTTCGGAAGGCATATAATTAGACACTTATTCTTCTCCTAGATATATGAAAAATAAGACCCTGAAGTTTCCTGGAGTTATCCCCAAAATCTCATTTTCGAAATGCGTATTCAGCTGATTATAATTTAGCATTTTTACTCACTAAAAAAAGTTAGCAATTTTTTTCACAACATTTCATTTATTAGGATTGGTAAGTACATATTGTTATTCAAATACTGTCTAGTATGAATGAAATAACTCATTTTCGATATCAGAACGCACCTTGTTGAATATATTCTTGAAAGACTTTAACTTCATAGATTGATTGATATATATGACGTAGTTTATGTAAGCTGGTCTCGAAATCTTGCCCCAGGCTAAGTAGAGCTGATATTAAATTTCTTCGCTGATAAATTAATTGTGGTGAGATGATAAGCAATCTGATCAATGACTTGCACGCCGTGGTGAATGAGTTGGTTCCCAAAGTTAGCTGTCTGCTATCCAGGAGGCGGTGGAAAGATTTGAGGGAAGCGGTGAGGATATATTCATATATAATAAATATCATGAAGATGTGTTTTCTTCCGTATGTGTCTATGGGGGGGGGCGTCTATCTATTCCGTATTCCACCCCCCGGGGGCGTTGGAAAGATTTGCGGAAAGCGGTGAGGATATATTTATATATAGCAAATTTCAAGAAGAGGTGTTTGTTTCCATATGTCTGTAGGAAGAGTGTGCTAGGAATTCACTGGGGAGCCAAGGGGGCGCCAGCCTGCAAAAGTTTGAGAACCACTACCGGCGTAGTCGAAGCAAATGGCGTTTGGCACGAGAAGAACCTTACCGCGCTGCTAGCTTTCCCAAGTCTTACCACATTTTGTCGACTGTGCCACCTCCCCACCGTCAGCTGCTCCATTGAGAATACAAGGAGCTCCCATACGAGGAGGTTGGCAATTCATGAGTGTTTTTATTTTCAACTAGTACAAATTTTTGATTGAATAATAAGCTCGATACATGAATTCCATCATAGACCTTCTGATCCAGAACAGCAACTTCGTTCCGCCGAACTGACCTCTACGCCCGGCAGGCGCTGGAGCCGCCATAGTTGTCCTGGGGTGAGAACAAACAAAATTCAAATCCCATCATGTTTATTGAATAATTGTGAACAATGGAAGATGCGCAATTACAAAATTAAAGTAAATCTTCGAACATACATGTTACGCGATGCGGCGCACAACAGATAGAATGCTGAAATTACAATATTTTTTCATTAGTGAAGTCTCCATGCCAGGAAATGTACGAGAAACTCCGCAGTGTTGCTGAGAACGAGCCCTTATTTTAAACGTTAGAAACAAGCACATTCCGCAACATCACAACCAAATAGTATGGAGGGACCATTCGAATACACAAACTTTCATTCCAAACTAACCAGGCCAATGCACTAGAAAATATATGCAAAGCCTTATCAAAATTGGAGATCAAATCTAAAGATAACCCAGAACGCGAATGACGTTGATAGTACGTAAAAGCTTAGTTCCTGTCAAGTATTCAATCATATTTACTAAAAACAAAAGGCACATTGCTGGAGCTTATTAGAAATGATGAAATAACATTTAACGTAGTCGTCGATGGCTATTATCCGATGCAGCTATACTTCTCTCACGTAAACCTTCTTTTGTTTCAAGAAACACCAACTAATTTGTGAATAAAAAATCACATAGAGAGGACCTCATGTATAACAACACACTAGTTAGTGACGGCTGTATCCTGCTGTCCAGTACATGTAGGAAAGGCTGTCCCTGCAACATAGCCTTGCACCCAACGGCTTGAGTGCCGCTGTCACTGCCCTGAAGTCTTCCAGCGCCCTTAAGGTAGCTTTAAAATAAATGGCTGCTGGTATATCTTTGGAGCGGCATTCAGGCCTCAACAAGCAAGAGGCGCCGGCTTTCTTTCATTTTCACACCACCCTAAACAACTGCAACAACTGCCATCTTCGAGGGACCACGAGCGGCTGACGTCCTCTTCCTTGGTGGCAATTGAGGCCTTAGATCCACTAATCAATTTACTTAGCCTGACCCTTATGTCTTAGAAGTAATTGCACTTGCTTCTTCAGTATTGCTCCTACATCCACATAAGCCTTCACACGTGCATCTTTAAAAGTTTTCTGATGGGTGCCTGGTGAGTGAATGCTGCTTACACATGCGCTTTTATATTCAAATATAATTACATTTAGGCCACTGAAGTTAATTTTTCCGTTGAATGCTTGTGAAAAATATGACATTTCAATTCCCCTTTGCGGTAAATTCATTATCACTTTCAGGTCACTGAATAGGTTTTTCTGTTGAATGCTTTCTTAGGAAATGTTTTTTCAAGGTCCCTTTTGTAGTGCAAGCATAATCGCACTCACTGCACTGAATAGGTTTTTCTTTTGAATGTTTTCTGAGAAGATGTTTCTTTAAGTCCCCTTTTGTGGAACAAGCATAATCACACTCACTGCACTGAATAGGTTTTTCTTTTGAATGTTTTCTGAGAAGATGTTTCTTTAAGTCCCCTTTTGTGGAACAAGCATAATCACACTCACTGCACTGAATAGGTTTTTCTTTTGAATGTTTTCTGAGAAGATGTTTCTTTAAGTCATCTTTTGTGGAACAAGCATAATCACACTCACTGCACTGAATAGGTTTATCTGTTGAATGTCTGTGAAGAAAATGTCTTTTCAAGTCACTTTTTCTAGTGCAAGCATAATCGCACACTGAGCACTGAATAGGTTTGTCCGTTGAATGTCTGTACATAAAATGAATTTTCAAAACACTTTTTGTGGTGCAAGCATAATGACACTTAGAGCACTTAAAAGGTTTTTCTGTTGAATGTTTTCTAAGATTATGTCTTTTCAAGTCCCTTTTTCTGGTGCATGCATAGTCACACTCAGAGCACTGAATAGGTTTTTCAGTTGAATGTTTTCTGAGAAAATGTTTCTTAAAGTCATCTTTTGTGGAGCAAGCATAATCGCAATTAGAGCACAGAATAGGTTTTTCCGTTGAATGCCTGTAAATAAAATGTCTTTTCAGAACAGTTTTTGTGGTGCATGCATAATCACACTCAGTGCACTGTATAGGTTTTTCTGTTGAATGTTTTCCAAGAAAATGTCTTTTCAAGTCCCCTCTTGAGGTGCAAGCATAATCGCACTCAAGGCACCGAATGGGTTTTTCTGTTGAATGTCTGTGAAGAAAATGACTTTTCAAGTCACATTTTCTGATGCAAGCATAATCACACTCAGAACACTGAATGGGTTTTTCTGATATATGTTTTGCAAAAAAATGTTTTATGAAGTTTCTTCTGTCATCAGAAGCATAATCACACTCTGAGCAGCAAAACCTCTTCATTGATGAAGGCTTAACAAGGCAACGCGTGTGCAGGTTTTCTTTGCAACCACCAGCAGCTGCAGGCACCAATCCACGCTGGGAAGACGCGCGCCTCGTGCGCTGCTTGGAGCTGGACGCCCCAGAGACGTCGGCGTCGCCAGCAGCGTCTCCTGATTCTGGTGCTGACACACCAGTGCTGCACTAATAATACAAATAGAGTAATAAAATATAGAAATACTCTATATTCTTAGAAATAGAGTACATTAACTCTCTAGTAATAAACTATATTCTATTTTTATAACAGCCAGATTAAGCATTGACTTTCAAATCTTACTCAAACTAAAATATGTCATTTATATCAACAGATCTTGAAAATTATAGCTAATATCTATATACAAATTGACTTGTACAGAGTTGGTTCTGATTCATGCAAGGATAACTCAGCATAAATAATTTGTTTTAGCAAATAAATGAGTTGCCATTATCTGGCCTTAAATAAGGCCAGCAATTTTGGCTCTGCAAATTTTAACATGGATAAAACCATGTTGCCAACTTTAACCCAGGTAAATTTAGAAACACTGATTTTTAATTTGAAAACTGATTGATAGAGACACTGTTATAAAACTGATCACTGTCACTCATCAGTGGCACTGATTTTGCCACTGTTTTAAAAGATTCATTTCTACAGGATAATTTCACACTTTTTCACACAAAAAATTTTTTTCTCAGAATTACTGAGGTGAACAGATATAAGAATATTTAAAATAAATTTCACTGCTGAAACGTGGATGTCATAATTATCAAGCAGACCAAGGATAGCTTTAAGATGTAAGAACTATTGCTGGGAATCCAAGCAATACAGCTTCCATTGAGGTGGAGGCTGCATTACTCCTCCACACACAGCAGGAGGCTGTATTGCTCCATAATCAGCACAAAAAATCCTCCACACACAACAAGAGGTTGTACTGCTCTATAATCAACACAGCCCATTCTTTGTGGTGTTGATTACCCATTACATCATTTCTTGAATGTGGTCCCAGACACTTAAGCTGAATGAGAATGTTATCTTTAATTCAACAGACTCAACACATATTTCCTCATTTTTTTGCTGTGCCTAGACAATTTTATCCTCAACCGGGGAAATCAGAAATATTTCTAGTTGATATTTTTAAAGATTGAAAATCGTCAGATTTTACCTGCACAATTTACATTGATGAGGAACACAGCATGTATTTCATGTATCATTGGCAGTGTTGGTTACACTTCTGCTAACCGCTAATTAGTGAAACCAACTTTTTATTCATCAGATTGCTTTTCAGCTAACTTTGCAAACCATTAGCGGACCAGTTAGCTTTGGCTAAATCTGGTTCTGCTAACTGGCAGTCTGATAAAAATGTTTAAAAATCTCTTGTGATAGAAAATTCAGGTGTTAATGATTAATTCTAAGTATCATTAGCCATGTGCCACACTGATGGCTGATTATGTCAACATATGTACATCAACCAATCACGTCTTGTGTTACTGCTACATATTGTAGTAGCACAAGACAAAATTGGTTGAAGCAGCATTGAGAAGCCGAAGTTCATCAAGGGCAAAAATCCTCACCTCGAGGAGATGAAGTGCAAGACAGAGTAAGATCAGTGTGTAACTCTGCATTTATCTGTGTGTTTTTGTTTCTTACCATTTCTTATTCATATAATACTTTCTTATTCTTTTATTAAACTGTATGATGAAAGTCAACTACTGCTTAATTTCATTTGTTCATTTAATTGTTTATGTACATCTTGATCATCATTTGATCTTGGCATGCTAAACCTTTTTGGAAAGCTCCTCGCCAATGCTACAACATATTAAAAGTACAGCTCTCTAGTTCTGAATTTCAGAGTTTCAGAGCCCCCCCAAAAAAAAAATTAGGTCAAAGCTAAATTGACATACTAAAAGTTAGCAGTGGTAATTGAGCTGAATTTTTGGTACTTTACCGGTTTAGCATTATAAAGGCTGATTTTTCAGTTAGTGCATTAATGGTTATTGAATCTAACTTTTTGGTTAGCTGTGCCCACCACTGATCATCAGTCAACCAATGATCACTTATTTCATCTTCTAATAGAGAATAAAAGATTGCTTGGAGAATAATGAAAATTTACAAATAGAATGAGAATCCACAAGAATAATAGGTTTCCCAACTAATCAAAAATTTTTGCACAGGCTAGAAGAGAGACAGCAAATATTATATACCTGATTCATAAACAGTGTAGAAGTGTGTGGTGGTGCGATTTGGTGTGCATTGGGAGCCTCAACCTGAGCTTCCGTCTTACATGGCACACAAGATAAGGGTGCAGGTGGGGGGCTGAGTTGTTCAGCTGAACAAGCCTGGAACAGAAGAAAAGGGGAGGACAATGAAAGGTCTTGAAGTAATGCATTTCATTTGAAAGAAATTATAAATATTTATCAAAAGGATTCTTTCCTATTCATTTTTATCTCCCATTTCTTAGCAGTTCATGCCAACCTTTGATTTTATTTACCATTGAAATGAAGTAACAAGCTCAGAGATAGCATCTTACAAAATTGCGGTTCTGAAAGCCTAACAAAAAAGATTTCATAGATGATTGAAAAATGAAGTATCATCCTTCAAATTTTTTCAAGAAGATATTTGCAGGCATGTCATATGCTTGCAAGGCATCCATTACCTCATCATACAGGAATGGTTCCTCCTTCACAGTTACATCCTCAGTATCATCTCCAAGCTCCTCTTTGATATTGTGTGCAGCAGCAACCATTTCTATGGCTGAAAAACAAGTTGATAAGGGGCAAGATCTCACAAAGTATAATTATTTTCCACAAAATTAACAAATCTTTTGAGCATTAGACAAAAAAGTTGAGATTTCCTCAGATATAAGGTGATGGAAATCTATTAGAGAATATATTTCTACACATTGAGACTAAATCTTATAGGGCAAATTCACATAAACTATAACAAATGTGAAAAAATAAGATAAGCAGACATTACACAGAAAAATAGACAATTCACTGCTGCATTTTGATAAGTGAAGAAAAGGCCATAAATAAATTGACTTACCTTCAGAATTGACTTTGCCCACAACAGGAGACACTCGATTGAGGATCTGCTCAGGACATCTGCCCCTCCTGAGTGCATCATCAGCGAGTTTGAGCAGCACAACGCAGCATTCTTTGATAATGGATGCCATCTCCATATATGGTGATCATGAGTCAATGCAGTTTATCTTTTAAATCTATCAACTTTTGTAGCAAAGGTACAAGCACTGGAGGGATATATAGAAATAAGATAGAGGCTCAAAAGACAGACTCTAATTCCAACAATTGCAACAAAATTCAACTGGCACAAGTTAGCTTAAGCACTTTATTTGCTTTTTCCTTGTTGCATTGATGTTTTAAGATGGACAAATACACATGAAATTGGATGATTCAACAAACATCACGGTAACTAGGTGAAATTTAGTTAATGAATACCTAATTTTGATTAATCATGCTTAACCACGAGTTAAGGGGAGCGTCTACCCTAAAATTGAAAATTTTTACTTTTTCGGTTTTTATACTAATTTTAAAGCTGACATTCTGCCCTATCCAACGGTACCACTGCCATCTCTCTACGTTGATCTATGATTTCACGACATTTCATGAAAGAGGGGCGGGTGGGGGAGTTCTTTAAGTAATTAGACAGGAACTAATTAGCTGCTGAGCTCTTTATATATAGTGTCTACTTGAGTTGTGCTGCAGTTACGTGTTTAGTCTCATCTTAAAGCTGACATTCTGGCCTATCCAATGGTACCACTACCATCTCTGTACGTCGATTTTCACGTACACGACACTTCATGAAAGGGGGGCGGGGGGAGGAGTTCTTTCAGTAATTAGATACGAGATAATTCGCTGTCCACCACTACAAATATAGTGTTTTTGTGAGGTTACAAAAATTCGAAATTCGAAAAAAGCTACGACGAATCGATAGATATGGTCCTTACGCATCGAATGATATGCGTCTCGATGTTGTAGCTTGGAAATTCTAGGAGGAGATAGATTTCTACAGTACCCCCTTTTTTGGCCGTTTTCTAAGAATTTCACGTTTTCTTTCATTTTTTTCGAAAAATTTACACGAATAAAAGCTGTCTATTTTTTGATTTTACATATGTGTACCAAGTTTCAAAGTGATCCGTCTGTAAATAGCCGAGATAATTTTTGGGGCAGACGCTCCCCTTAAGTATGATTTGGTCTTGACCATATGAGCACAAACAATTGCAGAACATTTCATGTGAAGTCAACATATTAATATTTGGTCAATTTGATTTTCTCACTAACAATTAGTGCAAGATTTGTCAAAAATTTGCATGGCATTTGGTCAAGATTGGCCCAATAGCTTCCAAATTTTCATGAGATTTATCCAAACCGCAGCAAACTTTTATGAATTTTGCACTTTGTCCAAATTTTTTCCAAGTTCATGTATACCTACCAATTTGAAAATAAAATTCCAGGTATTGGTCTAATGTACCCATCCCAATTTCCAAATACCTAATTTTTCCTGCACTATAAATATGGTTTCAAGTCCAGTGAATATTCCAAAAGGTAGGTATTAAAGATATGCACTTGAATAGCCCTTAAGAATTTCATTGCCAGGCTTCAGGCAAACAGTCGCACATTTTTTATCATATAGTATATATAGAACATGACGGAACTAATATTCTCATCTAAATCAAGGAAGATGAAGCATGTACAAATGATTTGATACAAATCTTCCAATGCAAGGATTAGAAAGAATCAATTATATCCCAAGTTATTATATATAGGTAGTTGCATAAGATGGGAAGAAATGAGAGGAAAACAATAGTCTATCCTGAGCGCATGAAAGCAACTGTAGCACATTGACAGGATCACTACAGATAAAACTGCAGAGTCTGAGAGAAACCATATGGTATTTTACAATTTAAGTCAAAGATGATATTTTAATTATCCAACAACTACATTTTATACATGTAAATAGATTTACTTCATATTTATTGTTCACTAAAAGAGGAATACTCATTTAATCAAAGCCACCTCTATGATTTCATGTAAAAGACGTTAGAATCTTTACAATTCCATTTAGTGACGATATTTTGTGAGTCATGGCCAAAATTAATTAGGATATAACAGATATTTAGGATTCATTTGGTGGAAAGAATTTTTTATGATTAAACCATTTTTATAACAATTGAAATCTTCCTCAATTCTTTTTTCAAAGATGTAAATACATAGCTAGGACAGTAACCTTCACTAATAGTTCAAACTGAAACTTTTGGAATTCCTAGTTGAATTCTCAGTTTTAAACAAACTTTTGCTATTTACTGGCAAGCTTTTCCAGAAAATTGTTCGGGCATGGTTCTACCTACGCCAATATTTACATATGCTTTCACAAACTTGCTTGCCTGGCCAATTGTCCACTTGATTTGAAGCCAATATTCTAGCCAACCGATACATCAATGTCACCATTCTAATTTTTAAACATCTCCCTCATATTGACTTACATTTTGATTTAATCCATCACATTCACCATAAGCTTTGATCAAGGAATAGATCATCATATATTGACTGCAATGTTAATCTAATAACAATTTTAGGACTTCTATTTACCTTCTGTTAGCAATACTTATGTTTATTGGTTTAAGCAATGACTTGTTTAGCTTCTATAACTTTTGATTCTAGTTAGATGAATTTTAAACATTAAAAAGCAGTGACTTTTCAACTCAATTTAAATTTTGAGATAAGCAATTTCACTTTGAATTTATGTACAATATCTTCTTGCTAAATGGGTTTTAGTCACACATGGTTTTTACCCAAATCATGAAAATCATTACAAAGCTATACAATGAGATTTTTTTAGCAATGGAAATATTCATTACAAAAATATTTGCTGAAATGCACGCCAAAAAATAATCTTCAGGTTTTGTTGGTGAATAATTTTTTAATCAGTTCCTCTGATATGAAGATATTTCTCCTGTGCATTTGATGGTTTGTGATAATTTCTAGTTCATCAATACTATTGTGCAAAATGTGCATCAGCATACACTGGTATGACATTCCCCACTTCATTTAACTGTACACTTTCACACTAAGTGATGTATATTTTACATGACCTCGTTCATGGGGATGCCAATGTGTCACGCATCGAAGGATCGATGTCATTAGGAGTGCTATTATTAGCAAGTCGATCAGAATTCCTTAAATTTAGCCGTTAGGCTTTAAAACGTGGAACAACAAGTATCCAGACTTATGTCAGGTGATTATCGTCGGAACCCGTCTGCTGCATTGACCTATTTTAGTTGTATTACTAAGATATCTATAGTTTACAATATAAAAACCAACAAATACAAAATCTCATGAACAAAATCGTTATTAAAGTGAAATTCCGATTTACATCTCTTAATGAAATGATAATCAGTACGAACATAACGACAAAATATTTCTTTTATCAAAAACAAATTTTCATGGGTAACAAAATTATTTTACAACATGGGAATCCCGCATCACCACCATTATCCATTAAGATTACCCACGGTATCATGAGCATATCAAGTCTTCATAACTTCGGAATTAATTTTTATATATAAACATATTTCACGAGAAAATATTCAGATGAAAATAACAGAAATGCTTCATGAACGGAGCTCGCAGCCGAGTAACATTAGATTAGTTCTGTTTTTCATCACCATGAGCGATAGTCGACGATGAATTCAGTCTATAATGTAAATCCACACATTTTTGTTCGCTTAGTGAATCCATTAAAGTTAAAAATTCCTGAAGTGAAAATGTTCCTGAGGTTTGCTACTCTCCATGCCCCGGATCACATAATGATTAGATAACGAAGAGAGTTTTCCATCATTTAAATCAGGGCACAGATGTCGGTGCGATGTATTAATCAAATGATGAATAAACGATTTTTTATTATGAAACGAAAGTGAAGGCAACAAAGTACAAGCCAACAACGCCAATGCAGTGGAAATATTGACATTAATAATGACCATTGATTGTTGTTCTTGGGACTTTTGTGCAGATTTGTTGGACAAACACACACAGGATTTTATGTGCATAATTAGGTGCACTGAACAACAACATTAGGTGCAGTGAACAACAACATTAGGTGCACTGAAATGCTCTAGTGCTTTCAAAAAATTTTTATAACTCTGTTTCAATTGCTCAGAGATCCGAAGTCCTTCCTTTTAAAGTCCTAAACTTGAAAGGAACTAAACTTTACAACAACTAAAGGACCTTTTTGAAATCCTTCAGCTGAAATCCTTCGGCGACACGAGGAGGCTGTTTGGCAGGATCGGGGGAACACATTAAGCAGATTCCTGCTTTCCCGCGATAGGAAAAGCAGGTTAACTAGCAAGCAAGACCTCAAGATCCCCCCAGGTAACCCAGAGTTCGTTTAGGGGTAACAACACAAGGCCATGCTGCAGTCACCACCTGAAATCTAGCGACTTTTCTGGGCGCTAGGGGAAGAGTTGACCCTCCTGCATTATTCAGATGAGACTTGACTCTCACCCCTGAATTTTATTCGAGAAATGAATCAATTCCCTGGTGTCAATCTGAGGAATACTGCGAAATTTCTTCAAGAAACTAATTCATGAACGGCTGACTTGACCGCGGTGATCTCGCTGACGTTACTTGAATATTGTCAAATGCTTCCTAAGAATTGCAGGTCTGATGGCTTAACTAGGGAACTTGTCGGTCATTTGGGCTGTAAGGTCATACCTCATCATTGGCGGACTGTCAATTCCTTATGAAGATGTATATATAGTTTTCATTTAGCGCAATGCGCCCCTTTCCTTCATAATGGCCTATTCGGCTACAAAACTGTCATAAATAACTCCTTATCAGAGCTGGGCAGCGCTACTTTGAAATGTAGCGGCGCTACCGCTACCGCTACATGCTTGAAATGCAGCGGGCGCTGCCGCTACCGCTACACCCACTAGATTGTAGCGAGCGCTACCGCTACAGGAAAATGTTGCGCCGCTATATTAGCCGCTACAATTGCCAAAATTATTGGAAATCTCTAAATATTTATTGTTCTGCTATTGCGATTTTATTGGCCATTTAATGATAATAAAAAATTTTCAAAACATATCAATGCAACTTTATTGCAATTAACCTAGCCGAACTAGTACGGGTTAGATACAGTAAATAAAAGTTACAGTTA